CCTCAAACTCACAGAGATCTGCCGTGCATCTGCCTCCTGAGTGCTGGGATTAAAGGTGTGCACCACAAAACATGGCTGTGAGGAGTGTTTTGAGTGCTGTGCTCTAACACAGGGCTTCTGTGGTCTAACTGGCCTTCTGTAGGTCCAGTGTGTCCTAATGGTTTTTCCAAGCCAGGGACCTGTGTTACTACCTGGACACAGGCTGTGGACAGCTTACGTACATACGTACGCACACGCATATACAACATACACATCACAAGTGTTTATTATCTTTTGTGTGGTCTTGATCTTACTTTGCATCTGCCTGGGGTCCCTTCTCTCAGAAACCCAAATATGTCTTAGTGTCTCTGGAAATTTATCTGATTGTGGGGCTCCATCCAGAAAGTGTTGCTGCACCCTGCCCTTCTTTGGGCACATGTACTGTAGGCACAGTGTCCCCATACATGTCACTTCACAGTGACATCATGAGCACCAGCCAGGAGAGAGCTGGGATTGAGTCCCCTGGACCCCAGCCACACACCTCTCTACATTTTGCAAAATTAAGCGTACACCAAAGGAACTCTGCCATGCACAGAGGTGCCCTTAGCCTGTTTGGTTGAGGTGTCTTCATCAGAGGAAGGTCATGCCTGGGCCCTGAGTGGACTAAAGGACAGTGGGGAAGGGCTCAGTGAGCCCTGCAGAACCCTAGAGATACAGCCGTCTGCCAAGGAGCACGGTGGGTTTGCTTCTTGGCCCTGGCTAGACTCTGTTTTGCTGCTGCAGTCTTCCACCAAGTTCCCAGAAGATTGTACCACACTTGACAGTGACAAGCATGAGCTAGCCCTGAGCTTAGCGGAGACATATCCCTGCACTTACTGAATTCAGCATGGCTGCGTTCTTGGCAGGACACTGCAAAGGTGGCAGAGAAAGAACCACTGCTGAGCCATGAGAAAAAGGACCGAGCAGAGGGGGAGAGTCACTTTGGAAAATGAAGTCACTGAGGCCAAATTGGGAGGCACGTGTCAGTAGACCGACCAAGCAGAGGCAGGAAGCTCCACCTTTCCCAGGCCCTGAGGTCCATAAGGGAGTGGGCAAGGTGTGAGGTCAGGTCTGAAGAGAAAGGGAACCGCCCTCACCCACCCTTCTCACTTAAGGCTTGACCCATTTTCCCTTCTTACTGCCGTCATTAGGAAATGCCCCCCTTGCTGTTCTCCCACAGCCCATCAGGCTTGAGGCCCAGCTCCCCTCCACAAAAGTCGCAGGTCTCTTCAGCCCTTCTAAAAGAGAGGATGGAGGGCTGTGAGGAGGTCTGGGATCCCAGGGTCTTGTGTATCCTAGCAGTAGGAGACCTGTGCCCTAGAGGTAATGAAGGGCTGGGAAGCCTTGCTACAGCACGCTGTGAAATTGGCTCCAAGGCAGGTGGCTGCTGGCCGGCCTCCTGCGCATCCAGCAGACCGGAGGAGGGCACAGCTGGCCGCCGCCGGACAGTTGAAACTCAGCATCGCTAACAGTGGGCGACATGGCCTCTAAGATAGTGTTCACATTCCTGGGTGAGGTGAGGTCCCCAGGGCCAGGCCTCAGGAGCACAGCTCTTGTCTGGAGAGAGTAGCTTGCCAAGGCTGTGGAGGAGGATTTTAAACAGGGGCAAGCCATGGTCAGAGTTTCACATTAACGATGAAGGGGAGCTGGGCTGGAGCTCAGCTGGTAGGGTGTGGACTTCCCTCCCAGCGCTGAATAAAACCAGGCAATGGTGGCCTCTTAGGAAATTGAGGCAAGAAGGTTAGAAATTCAGAATCCTCCTCAGCTACACAGTTTGAGCACAGCCTGGCCTACGTGAGACTCTATTCCCAAGGGGACCAAAAAAACCAGAAGCCAGAGTCTGTGGACGCACAGAGAATGAGACATAAGGGTTGCAGGAACCGTGGGAGTGCTGGATCTCGCATAAGGGGTTCTATAGCACCACCCCCAAAATATGAGTCCCAGTGCCCAGACCTGCATTTTCAGTGCATGGTGTGACATTGCAGTTCTTATCAATGTGCTAAGCAAGCAGCGAAACAAGTGTGCAGCCGTCCGTGTGGGTTTCTGTCCTGACAGCATGGTACTTGAGGGTTGGCACTTGATTGGCCTCTTCATGAGACAGTGTGGCCTGTAAGGAGACAGCAGCCTTGGGTCCTCACTAGTGCCATGACTGGGCATCCCATACCATACTAGTTTCAGTGAGTCTGTCCATAGAGCTGTGATTGTCACTGTTTCCTGCAGTGGAGCGGAGAAGGAGGGACAAGATCAACAACTGGATCGTCCAGCTTTCAAAAATCATTCCAGATTGTCATGCAGACAACAGCAAGACAGGAGCGGTGAGTGTCCCCAGTCGCTTCCAGCAAGTTGGGCTACCACCAGGCACAGGAGCTGAGCTGGTCTGTCCTCTGACTCCTGTCTGCCCTCCACTCCAGAGTAAAGGGGGCATCCTGTCCAAGGCTTGCGATTACATCCGGGAGCTACGCCAGACCAACCAGCGCATGCAGGAGACCTTCAAGGAGGCAGAACGGCTGCAGATGGACAATGAGCTCCTGAGGCAGCAGGTGGGTATGGGCCTGGAGTCCACGGGGGCCCAGTGTGCCCAGGCCTAACCCTGGCTCCTCTGTCCCCGTGGTGCCTGCAGATCGAGGAGCTGAAGAACGAGAACGCCCTGCTTCGAGCCCAGTTGCAGCAGCACAACCTGGAAATGGTGGGCGAGAGTGCCCGGCAGTGATGCCCGCCGGCTCACCCTTCAGCTGCTGCCGGCCTCTGCTGCCCCTCCCCCAGCCCTTAGCACAGAGAGGGAGATGCCCCTCCCCAAGCTGCGTTTTTTTATAGTAGATTTTTAACAAAAACAAGGAGACGTAATGCATTTCTGTTGATACATTGCCCACTACCCTCCTCCGTGCGGAAACGATGCCCACCTGCCCATCTGTCCGTCGGCCTCCCCTCTCGGTCTTCAGCAGCCCGTCACTTAGCGTGGGCTATCAGGAAGACCGAGGGAGGAGGACAGAGGCCCCGCTGCCCGCTGCCTCCTTGGTCTCTAGAGGTATTGAGACAGGGTGCTTATGGGGAGGAGGGAGCTTTGGGGACGGGGGCCTTCCCTGGGGCCTGGACCTATGCAGGGAGGCCATGCCCCCCACCCCTCTTGTTTCTGGATCCCTACTCCCCTCTGGGTGTGTGGGTGTGTGTGTGTATGCGCGTGTGTGCGTGTGTGTGTGTTTTAATTTTCTTTATGGAAAATGGACAAAAAAATAGAGAGAGAGGTATTTAACTGCAATAAACTGGCCAGTGTGGCCCCGCCTTGTCTGTCTGTGTGTCCATGTTGGGCATGGGGTCGGGTAGGAGTCCTAGGGTCTCCCTGAGGTCTAAGCTTCAGTTACACTGTGACTGTGTGACAGTGGCTGGGGGGAATTCTCTGAGGCCCTGGGGTGCAAGTGAGGGGTATGGAGGCTGGGGTCAAGGACATACCCCCTGGTGTTAGACGGGAAGCTGCAGTCTCCTAGGTCAGGGCTTGAAAACAGGGCTGGTGAGGATCCCTGGGCTCTGGGGCTGAAGCCCTCCCCTCTGCACCAGCCAATGATGGGGCCTGGCCTTGAGCCCCCCACCCCCAAGAGAGGGCAGAGGGCCAGAAAGCCAGGCTTGGCCCGGCAGTCTGTCGCCTCGAATTGTAGCTCTGGCGCCTGTGCTGTGACCCCTGCCCTTGGCGGATGATGAAACCTGTCCTGAGCAGCCGCAGTGCTGCCTGGCAGGTTCGGGGAATACCCCGTCATGTCCCCAAGAGTGGCTCACCATTCCCAGGGTCTAGGCCTGCCTGGCGGTTTCCCCTTGTTGCATTTTGTACCTTGCCACAACCTAAATACTCCTGATGGCCTCTGGTGTCTTGAGAATCCTGTCTTTGGCCTTACCACTTTAGGAAAAGCCCTCTGAGGGAGCATATGGAACAAAGGAAGAGACTCAGTGGGCAGCAGCAGAGTGGTAGTGTCCCCGGGCTCTGGACATGACTGACTGGGTGCTCCCTGTGTGACAAAGACACACTGTCCAGTAGCCTATCTCTGGAATCAAAGTTTGATAATATCTCAGGCTGCGTACACCAAGGGGTTCAGGTAATAGAAAAGAGGAGAGCACACAGGCTTCAGCAGTACCCCCAAGAACCAGCTACAAAAGCCCTGGTGTAGACCGTGTACCAATCTCTGGTATATGTAGTCCAGCATGGCATGGGGAGGTTCTGGCATACCACTGCGCTTGGAGCTGTGCGGTGGGCACAGTCTGCCGTGTCCCCTGTGCTTAGAGGGAGACTGAGTTTGAGGACTAGATCAAGCCAGAACCCTGCAGTCAGTGACTGGAAGGCAACTTTAAGCGTAAACACTAATAGAGCCCAGGAGGAAGCAGGCAGCCACTCAGAGGACAGGTAGCGCCAGCTGTTAACACAAAAGCGAGTTGGCACTGGTGTTACAGACACAGTCAGTACACTGTCATGACACATGTGTAATGACTGCCACCACTGTAGGCAGAAGGTCACTCCAACATGACAGCTATGTCATACGATCTTCTCATTGGATTCCATGCTGCATGTTGGGGCTAACGCTGACACAAACTCGAGGGCATCTGTCCAGTCCCTTGGCCACTGTTCCTAACTCATGCTGGGATGCACCCCGTGCATATGTACCAAATTGCTGGGTCCATCCGAGGAGCCCAGTGAGTGACAGCCATATTGAAGACACTGATGGGGTGAGAGGCACAGTTCTTCCACTTACCAATCCAATCAATGTTTAGGGGACAGGACGGGAAATTTTCTGAGAGCCACAGGGTGACATCACAGGTGGCTGGCTGAAAGCTTTCGTCCATGGCTCTGTCTGCCCCACCCTCTGGATACACCTCTGCTGGCTGAGGGTGACACAACCCTGTCCCCTGTCACTCTGTTCCCGCTTATCTCTCCCGCCTGTTTGGCGCCACTATCTTCTTGGAAATGAGTCAGGGCAAAAGGGAGGGGGCTCAGGTGACCCTCCTCCTACTGGTCCCATAAAAAGACTGGGACTGGGTCCTGGACACCAGCACAAGTCCTTAGACTGCACAGCAGGACAGAAGGCATGATGGCACTCAGCACTCGGACCCAGGCTGCCTGTCTCCTGCTTCTCCTCCTTGCCAGCCTGAGCAGCAGCACCTATCTCCAACAACAGGTGAGCACCCCAGGCCCGCTGTGGTGGGAGAGCCAGGTCCCAGTGAGGCAGGAGCTCATCAGCACTGAGCATTTAAAACGGTTTAGGAGTGGTGGCAGCTGCTGACAAGGACAAGCGTGGTCCTTAGCGGAAGGGCTGAGAGGCTGCATGAGTGTTGAATAGCTACTCTGTCGTCCTACTATGGAGAATGGACAGGAGGAACATGGTGTGAGGCAGACAAAATGTTCTTCCAGCTGTCCCATCCCGGTCAGGGCATTCCTGAAGCATCTTTAAGTGACTATTTAGTAAAAGCTTATTGTGGATAGCGCAAAAGACAATGAGCAGAAAACTCTCATGAGGAAGGACCAGAGGTGGGGCTAAGAGGCTGACGCAAAGTAGTCTATAAGAAAATGATACAGAAGGGGCTGGAGAGATGGCTTAGCCATTCAGACCACTTGATGCTTGTGCAAAGGATCTAGGGTCAGTTCCTGACACCCTATGGTGGCTCACAACATTCTTAACTCTAGTTCCAGGGGATCTGATGCCTGTGTGGGCACTCCAAAGGTGGAATTGGGGGAAATTCAGAGTTCACAGTCATTCCTGGCTGCAAAGCAAATTCGTTACCAACTTGGGCTACATAAAAAACCCTGTCTCATAAAAAACAAAAACAAACAAAACACCGAACAGCAACAAATGGATACTAGATTTCTGTGGAGCTGAGACAGCAGAGTGGGCACTCAAGGCAATCACAAGACCCTTGGGGACCGTGGGGTCTGAAAAGTGGAGCCGTTGCTGGAAGTGAGGAGAGGGCTGTAGAGGCTCTGCCGTGCCGAGCTCTGTGGACAGCTATGCACCGGAGGATTGGTCCTCACGTTGCTGAGACACAGGAGGGGAAGCCACAATCCAGCTGATGGTGCTGTCAGCTGTCAGCGTGCTATGAGGTGACCTGGTTGTAAGAGATGAGTTGCAGGGGAACCTGTTGGGAGCCTCTAGGAGAGTACAAGAATGAGTGCTTTTAGAAACATCCAAGGAACAGCGAGGGGAGACAGGGCGGTAGGGTCCCTTCTAGGAATTCCATCTAAGCACAGGTCCCTAAGTCCCTGGGGAAGAAGCTGGCAGAGACAAGTCAGAAAGCTATGCCGGGGATTGCACAATACTTAGTACCTCTTCTGCTTTCACAGATGAGACAGACGACAGCACTGCAGCCTTTGCACAAGGCAGAAAGCAGGACCGACAGTGCGGTAAGAGAATCTGGGACGCCCTCCCTGACCCCCCAGCCTCTCCCGTGTCCAAGCGAGGCTGCTTACCTCTTTCTTTCCACAGCTCCTGATGCAGAAGCGAAGGAAGCGAGACACCAACTTCCCCATCTGCGTCTTCTGCTGTAATTGCTGTAAAAATCGTTCCTGTGGCATCTGTTGCTTCACGTAGACAGCCAGCCTAGAGCGACGTCCTGACCTCTCAACACCCCTGCCTCTTCTTGCCCCGCTTATTTATTTTTGCCCTCCTCCAGCAATGACCTTGAAATAAAGATGATGGTTTCCTTTTCAAACTATGGTGTCTGGGTTTTTTACCTTTTTTTTTTTTTTCCTTGCCAAAGATATGGACTTGTTGCAAGCCCTGCCATCCAGGGACAGACATTTGGCAGGATATACAGGTCTATGTACACTGAGGCTGCTAAAAAGCTGGATAAAAGCATTTCTTGTCTGTTCTTCACTTTGTTTCTTACTTCAAAAGATCTGGAGTTTATGTAGCAACTCAAGAAGAAAGTTGAAAAGACTTTCCTCAGTCTTTTTCTTTCTTTCTTCTTAAAAACTTTTTAAAATATGTGCACGCCTTGCCCATGTGAGCGCGCGCCCGTGTGTGTGTGTGTGATTGTGAGTACATGTAACAGCCAGAGTAGCCTCAGCTGGTATGAAACTTGCTTTGTCAAACTCACAGAGATCTTCTGCCTTTGCCTCCTGCGTCTTGGGATTAAAGGTGTGTGCTGTATCTACCATCGATTTTTTTTCTTTTCTTTTTTAATATTTTTTTTTAATTCTGTGTGTATGTGTTTCTGGTTTTTTTTTTTTTTTTTTTTTTTTTTTTTTTTTTTTTTTTGGTTTTTGAGACAGGGCCTCTCACTGAACCTGGAGCTCCCTGACTTCCCCATAAACTGTCTGACCAGCAGGTCTCTCTGATCCATCTGTCTCTGTCACAACAGCTTGTAATATGGGTGCTAGCACTCAGTTTGCGCTGCAAGTGCCTTACCCACTGAGCCATCCTTCCAGCCTGCTTGCTCTACAGGGACACAGATACATGAGTCAGAATTCACTATTGTCCCAGCTTGTATGATTTCAACAGCCCTAGTGACTAGAAAGGACATTGGTCACTTGGCCTCTGTTGGATTCTGTAAGGGAAATAATAGTCTAAATACGTGACAGATGCCCTGGGAACTGGCTGCCATGTCCAGAGGCATAGAGAGAAGGGCGTCTGACTTTGTCAAGACAGACTGGAAAGCCTCTTTGTGAGCTATACTAATACTTTAAATATTGGCAGCTAAGCTGACTATTGCAGTTCAAACCAGTAGCAACAACAATAACAAATTCTTTCATCACGTGCCCTTCTCTCCCCGCGAGGACTGAGTAATCAAACACAGGCCTCACATAGAACAGCCAGATACTTACACAACTGACGTATACCCTGAGCCAAGAGACATACATCTATCTATCTATCTATCTATCTATCTGTCTATCTATCTATCTATCTATCTATCTATCGTAGACAGTGCAGTCTAACTTGGACTTGCACACTCTAAGTAGCCAAGGATGACCTTGCACTTCTGATCCTCCTGCCTCCACCTCCTGAGTACACTTGGCTTTTATGCAGTGCGGCAACGCACATGCAGGGCCTGGTTTAAGCTGGAGACAGGGTCTCAATGTGTAGCCCAGGCTGCACTAGAACTCACTATGTAGCTCAAGCTGGCTTTTTAAAACTTGCTGCAATCCTGCCTAAGGCCAACTAGTACTTAAAAAGCCCATCTATCTGTAGGACAAACTCAACCAAACTAGAAGGCAGCAACAACCTCACCCACCACAACCTTTTACCTCAGAGACTGCTATGAGGCTGGTCATCAGAGGGAGGTGATGACAAAGACACCCCACCCCCCTCACCCAACTCCCGCCTACTATTTTACAACCTTGAAACTTGGTTTCAAGGCCACCCTAGTTTCTCTTGGTGGCTTTACTTTGTTTAATGTAACAAACACAGTCTTGATGGGGCACTAAACCAGAGGCACTGATCACATGGCATTAGTCCAGAGACAAGGAGCATACTCAGTACAGCAGAAGTAAATCCCCCCTCACGCCGACAATGACGTCACAGCCCTTGATTATATTGCTGCGCTGCGCTGCGCAGCGCAGCGCAGCGCAGCGCAGCGCAGCGCAGCGCAGCGCAGCACAGCACAGCACAGCACAGCACGTTGTTCTGGAAAACATCGGAACTCATGAAGAGCTCTGTTCCCTGGCTTGCTCCGCCCCCTGGCTTGCTCCGCCCCCTGGCTTGTCCTTTCACATTCTTCAGAAGTCCCTCTCCCCTCACAGTTTTAGGATATGACTTGAGTATTTCAGAATGAAGGCAGTCCATAGAAGCCAGTCACCCCTGGGTGAATTCGGGTCGCCATATTACCTAGATTCGCAGTTTGCGCAACCCACTGAAAGGTCCTTTTTCTAAGACTCAAGCAGCCTGGGAGCTGTAGGAGACAAGGGCCACAAGCTAACTAGTTAGGGGTTTCTTGAATGAAGACAGAGGGGCAGGAAGCGGACTCTGCTATGGACGGCTTGGCTCTCCACAGTACTGGTGCTTCTGCCTGTTGAACTCAGTCAAGAAGAAGAATGTAGATTTGTCTTGAAAACGGACAAATGTTCCTAAACGTGAACAATCGGTATCAACAACAGAGAGGCAAGGTTTCTTTGTTTTGTTTTGAAAACAGTTTCATTGTAGCCCCAGCTGTCCTGGAACTTGCTAGTAGACTAGGTGCCTGGAGAAATGACCTGGCAGTTAAGAGCCTGTACTGTTCTTGCAGAGGTCTGGAGTTTGGCTTCCAGCATCCAGGTCAGGCTGCACAAAGCCACCTCTAACTCCAGCTCTAGGGAGTCTGAAGCCATCTTCCTTGAAACTCCTCTGCCAAGTGGAGGGAGAGGTGGAGGAAAGAAGCGAATGTGCAGGCTGAAGCGCAAGAGAAGAAAGATAAGGCAGAGGGAAACTAGCTTGTGTACCCGAGAAGGCTGGAGGAGCAGAGGTAAGGGATGCAGAGGGCTGACGGCTACTGTCAATAATAAGTCTCAGTGGATCTGATACATCATCATCATGCTTGCTAAGACCACCCGAGAGACTGACTGCCTTCCTCACAACCAAAACCAGTCCCGCTGGCTCTCTCCCCAGCACCTGCTGCATTCCGGACTAGTCCTGTTCTCATTTGCGGCCAAGTGTAACTCCTGTACAATAACCCATCTTCTTCGCAGACTCAAAAATAAAAAGAAAAGAAAAAAAAAAGTAAGTCAGCAGAGTCGCACCTTTGAAGGTTCCTGGAGGTTGTCTACGATTGACGGTGGCAACCGACCATTCACAGGAACCTCTAAAAGCATAAGCTAAAATGTATCCTTCTTCCAGTTAGCTGTTTTCAGGGGGATTCTGTTACATCGGCAGAAACGGCCGCTTTATAGCATTACTGATTACACTGAATTGCTATAGATACTCCTCTCACTTTTGGACACAGTTCTCCAGAAGGTCCTAGAACTGTGTAGATGTGAAGCGGACGGATTACAGTTTTAGTGTTCAAGCCAGGGTGGTGGTGGTGGCGTACACCTTTGATCCCAGCATTCAGGACGCAGAGGCAGGCGGATCTCTGAGAGTTCCAGGCCAGCTTGATCTACAGGGTGAGTTCCAGGACAGCCAGGGCTACACAGAGAATCCCTATCTCGAAAAACCAAAACAACAACAACAACAAAACCCGAGAAAATGTCTCAGTATATATCCCTGGCTGGCCTGGAACTCGCTATGTATATCAGGCTAGTTTCAAATTGATATTGATCCTCCTGCCTGTGCGTATTGACTGTTGAAATTAAAGGCATGCACTGCCATGCTTGGCTTCCTCTATTTTGTTTTACAAGGTTTATTTTTCATTTTTATTCCATGTGCATTTACGTGAGTATCTGCCATGTGTGTGAAGGTACCTTCGGAAAACAGGAAAAGGCACTGGAGCCTCTGGAGCTGGAGTTGCAGGATGTTGTGAACTGACTAACGTGAGTGCTAGGAACGGAACTGGAATTCTGGGGAAGAGTGTTACCTGGTCTTAAGCACTACACACACACACCCCTCTTAATCTCTCCATTCCTTGCCTCTTTTTTTTTTTTTTTTTTTTGAGACAAGGTCTCTGATAGCCAAGGCTGGACTCTGACTATGTAGGTGAAGTCCATCTTGGACTTCTGACCCTCTCTCCCTCCTGGCTCTACCTTCTGAGTGCTCGAATTATATACATGTGACTCTATACCCAGTATGTGTGGTGCTGCAGTGAGAACACTGGGTTTTATACATACTAGGCAAGCACTCTACCAAATGAGCTATCATCCCAGGCCTTTGACAAAATGCCGCTGCTGCTGCTGACCTGAGGACCACACTGTTGCGACCCTTGACATGAAACAGCCATTCCTGATTATGATGAGCAACAAAGGAACCCTGGGCTTGCCAAGACCCAGGCCCTGGCCCAAGATGGTGTTAAGAGATAAAGTGATTAACAGGACCGTATTGTCTGAAGATGCCTTCTCTAGTTTGCATGCTATTTTGGATAAAACTGGGCTAACAAGCAAAAGTCATTACACGATACAAAATCTCTATGACCACCCTCCGTTTATCTATTGATGTCTTAAACCCCAGAATGTGACCTTAGTTACAGATGGGATCTCCTGTGAGGGAGTGGGTGATAAGACAGGTCCAATGTAGAAGAGGATAACCTTGATCTGGTCCTCCTGCCTCTACCTCCCAAGGGCTGGGATTACAGGTATGTGCCACTGCGCCTGGCTTTGACGGTAGGTCTTTACTGAGGGCAACAGTGATGATGAAGTCATTATAGTGGGTCCTAATCCAATATGCTTGATGTCTTGGCAAAAGGGGGAGGAGATTTGACCCAAAACTGATCCAGGAAGAACAAAATTCAAATATTCAAACCTCCAAGTCCCAAGGTTGAGGGGCTTGGGGGAGGAGCAGGAGTAGATCTTCTCCTTGAAGCACAAAAGGAAGTAACCCTGCTGCAACTTGATTCCGAAGTTGAGATTGAAGCCTGAAAGGGTGTGACGTGATACATTCTAGTTTGGACGTTTGTCCCCAGCACTCAGCCCCCAGCCCTTGCAGACCAAATACCAGCTTTCTTGAAGGCATCAGCTGATTTGGGTAACAGGTAGCCCCCTGCTTCCCCTCTGGCTCTCAGTCCATCTGAGTCCATCTCAGTCCCCTTATGGTGGGCCCCTCCTAATCCCCTGGCTCTGCCACAGACTCTCACTGGGACTCACCTACCCCTGTTTCCCCTCTCCAAGGACTCTAGCTCATACCTGGAACTGACAGAGTACCCACTCTACACAGGAACACCAGCTCAGTGAGTCCAGTGTGGTTGGACATCTGTGGCACAGGGCACCTCAGAATCTTCATATTCACCCTCAAAGTCCAGGCACCAGGTCCCTCTCTTCTCCGGAACCCAGGCTTTCAAGCCCCACCCCACTGTCAATGGACCATTGTCTCAGACTGGGAAAGGCACGGGCAGAGGCTGACATCATGGAGCCTGAGGTGGGGGTATCACTGCCCCCCAGCCCCAGTCTTCCTGACTCCTGATCCACTCCCTGGTCTAAGGGATTTCCCTGTCCTCACTCCTGGAAGAAAGGACTCCCCCACCCCCAACCCCTGCTCTGGCCTCTGAAGGGCCATGAAACTGCTCTGTGTATCTTGCCACCTCTAACACCCTGTCCACCTTACAAAACCCGTGCCTGATTCAGGATGACTGTAGATTCCGTACCCAGAGGGTCCTCACCCGGCTCAGAAAGCCACCATGGTCTCGCGTGCACAAAAGTCTAGCCTTAAGACCCCAGGCAAGTACACAGGCAGGCTTCTGTGGGAAGTCTGCTCTCTCAGAGCTTCAAGCTAGATGAACAGGCCAGGACCAGACAGAGTACCCAAGGGCAGGGTGACCAGCTTCGGTCATGGTGAGTTCTATAGAAAGAAAAGGACAGATTTCAAATGAAAGGGCGGGGACCAGACATGGTGGCACACATCTGTATCAGTACTGTGGAGACTTAGCCATGTTGTACTCAGGGCTAGCCTGAGATGCATAGTGAGCTGGAGGCCAGCCTGCACTATATAGAAAGACTCAAAGAATGAATTAAAAAGTAGGGTGGGGTCGGGTGGTGGTGGCACCCATCTTTAATCCCAGCACATGGGAGGCAGGGCAGGCAGATTTCTGAGTTCGAGAGTTCGAGGCTAGCCTGGTCTACAGAGTGAGTTCCAGGACAGCCAGGGCTACACAGAGAAACCCTGTCTCGAAAAACCAAAAAAAAAAAAAAAAAAGAAAGGAGGGAAGGAAGAGAACAAGAGAGAAAGAAAGAAGGAGGTGGAGAGATGGCTTAGTAAGTAAAAGTACTGACTCTACTCCCACAGGACCTGGGATCAAGTCCCAGCACTTACACGGTGGCTCACAACCATCTGGAACTCCAGATCCAGGGGATCTGATGCTCTCATCTGACCTCCATGGGCATCAGATCCAAAAATGGGGCACAGACAAACATACAAGCAAAAACACCCACACACATAGCATAAATAAATCTAAAATAAGTCAATCAATAAACGTAATTTTTTTAAGAGCATGTTTGTTTGTTTGTTTAACAGGTGGAGACAGATTCAGAACAATACAGACAGAGCCTTCATCCTCATCAGGGGAAGGTCGTGATCTCAGGAAACAGTGGCTAAGGTCATTTCGGAGGACAAGAAGTGTCAAGGAGAAAACAGACCGGGAAGGGAAACATAGGTGGGGGAGGGGGTGATTCTCAGCATGGTGGAGGTGACTGGAGCCATACAAGGAGAGGATGTGTTTCCTCTTACTGGCAACCAGTCTCTACCTGTCTCTTGGGACCAAGATCACAATGTTGCCACCGATTCTTCCAGGACAACAGGTTCCACCTTTCAGCCTGAAACTTTCAGAAAGACGAGGCCACTCCTCCCTCCCAAACCCCCAAATTAGGCTGTATATTAATGGAGGAAGGGGAGGAGCAAGGTAGACCCCCATCCTCTCTAGGAAGGAGCTAGTAGGACCCAGGCATCAGGCTGCCCAGTCCCAGGCCTAGCCCTGTGGTGACAAGGGCCCCTTTGTGCCCCCCTCCCCCGGGGGCAGGGAGGAGCTGGGCCCTGGAGGCAGGCGGCCCCTGGCACCCGGGGGGCAGAGGAGGGGCTGGCAAGTGGGGGCCTAGACCCTGGAAGGCCAAGGGACTGTAAGCCTGGCCAGCGGAGCAGAGGGTGCAGAAGCCAGACCATCCAAGTGAGTACTGAGGCAGAGAGGGCTAGGGTGAAACACCCCCAGGGGGTTGGGAGCGCTGGTCACCAGGACACGTGCAAGGCCAGGTATGCCAGGAAGCAGGGAGTGCCTGCCACTGTGAACCAGAGGGCCACTCGTTTCAAATGGAACAGGGTATTGCTTTAAAATGGGCTTCCAAACCAACCAAAGATCTTAGTGGGGGCAGTGATGGGAGCAGAAACAGCAATGAGGCCTTGAGAAGAAGAGACAGAAAGAAAGGTCAAGGGGACCTCTCTCCTGGACCTACCTCATCAATGGTGGGAGTTTCTGCAAGGCCAGCTCCTCTGGGGTTTGCAAAACTGGGAGAGATGGGACAGTGATCTGGACTGGGGGAAAAAGGGGCCGGTGCAGAGCCATCAGACACTGGAATCCACCATGTGGATGTGGGTGAGGCCAGCAAGCTGTGAACACCTGGGTGCACAGTAAGGGTGACAGTGTGTGTCTACCTCCCCTGTGTAGCCTTCTGTGTTAGTGTTCCTTACCTCCTCCTTGCACGTCACTGAAGAGACTTGGTAGGTGTGTTTTTCCCTATCCCCATCCGTCCCTTGGATTTGTTTGTGTTTGCTGAAGTAGGGCCACTCACAGCCCAGGCTAACCCTCAACTTGCTAATATAACCAAAGCTGGTTTTGAACTCTTGATCCTTCTGCCCTTCCTTCTCGAGTTCAGGGGTGACAGGTGTGCAGTCAGTGGTCCTGGCTTCTCCAGTGGAAAGTTAACACTATAGATATGGGGTCTGTTTGTCTTGCAGTTATTAGCCTTGTGATTCTTTAGAGAGCTTCAAATCATTGTCCTTGCTGAGATTGCTTGAGCCCATATGCCAAGATCAGAATCTGCCCCAGAGAAGAACGCACCCTGTGCATGACTATCTCACCCATCTGCTTGTGCTAAATTGATTGGCCCTTACCTCTGGGTATTTCCCGTTCCTTCCAGTCACAGGTGCCAGGGTCACAGCTGCCCTGTGTCCATAGGTGTGTCTGGGTGGAGCTCTCTGTAGTCACACCTCAGTGTGTGCAGGTTCTTGTGACTTGCACACTTGCGAGCAGGACAGCCAGAGCCATGACTACCCAGGTGTGCATGTCCAAGGCTGAGGGCAGTCAGGTGATCTCTGCACAGCCTGTACCAGGATGCTCCTCTGCAGACACAGGGTTGTCAGGGTAGGGATGTGTCTTCATGGGTCTCCGAATCTCCATTCTGTAAGTCTGTTCTTGCTGGCTGTCAGATTTCCTTCTAGCGTTTGCATGTTTCTGGGCATGCGTCTACATCTGTAGGAAGAGGCCAGCCAAGGCCGGGAAAAGCAGCTACTTCAAAATCCTGGCTCTAGTCCCGATCGACCCACAGGGCAGCGGGGGGGCCAAGGGGCCATCACCTCTGGCTCCTCCTGGCCCTTCACAGAATCCAGTCACGAACAACCAATCTCACTCACACTCCACCTACCCCCCAGGAGGTCCCTAGGATGGGGCACCCACACCCCCAAAGGAACAGGGCTCTTTTTGTATTGGCTACTGGCCTCTGGTGAGGGTGGGGACACCCTGGGCCTGCTGCGGGTGGGAGAGGGCGGCAGGAATTCACACGGCATGCTGGGAATGCTGATATTGTGAAACCCGGTCATTGATGGGGCTGGGCCCCTGCCTGCCTGCCACCCCCAGGTCTCATCTGCTCCTTCACTGGACTCGCCACTCACTGTTCCCCTCATCTCAGAGCTACCATCCCCTTCCTTCCCCACGACTCTCCCACGTCCCAGCTGGGGGAGGGGGTGTTGTTGTGGCGGAATAGTATCTTTGAAACTGTGTGGGAGCATCCTGGGTATCCATGGGTACCAGAGACCACAGGGATGTTCTTACAACACAGACACCGCCCAGAGTATACACGGAAAAGCAGGGTGGCAGGCGCCGAGAGTTTCACCCTGGAACCCCTGACTGACTTGTGTTCTAGGTTGACTGGCCACTTCAAGTGGAATCAGGAGACATTGCCAACTCAGGGAGACTGAGGTGAGGGGTAAGATACCAATGTTTTCTTTATCCAAATAACCGCTTCTTACCTCAGGAGGAGTGTTGCACCTGCCTAGCGCTCTCTGAGAGAGAAGCAGGAATGCTTACTAACCTGCCGCTGGCATGCAGTGACAGCACAGCTCTGCTGCTAAGTCTGCAGACCAGCTAAGTGATCTTGGGCGAGCTATGCACCCCCTGGACTTTAGATGCACACAGTAATTTCACCTACCTCAAAGACATCAGAGTTGTAACCCCAGTGCCCACTTGAGCCACGAGAATGACAGACACAAGACAAACAGATCGCTGAACCATCTAGCTGTCCACTGTAGAACAGTGGCATCTAATATTCTAGAGATATCTGCAGCTAAGGCAGGGAGAAAGAAGAACTGGGGTCAGGGATGAGATGTCTGGGCCCGTGTTTGAGCTGTGTGACTTTGGGAAGCTTGCTTAACTTCCCCGGGTGACTGGTGTCAAACCTGGTGGCTGTGTGTGGCTTGCAGCACCCAGCTCTGACGGAAGCACTGAAGCCCAGCATTTATAAGTGACAGCAGTTAACCTTGGCCCAGTGCTCCCTCCCCTCCTGTCTTCTTCTTCTTCTTCTTCTCCTTCTCCTTCTCCTTCTCCTCCTCCTCCTCCTCCTCCTCCTCCTCCTCCTCCTCCTCCTCCTCCTCCTCCTTCTTCTTCTTCTTCTTCAAGACAGGGTTTCTCTGTGCAGTCCTGGCTGGAACTCACTCTGTAGACCAGGCTGGCCTCAAACTCAGAAATCCGCCTAACTCTGCCTCCCAAGTGCTGGGATTAAAGGTGTGCACCACCACTGCCCGGCTCCTGTGGTCTTCTAAAACCCTGCTCTTGTCCCTCTCCATCCCTAGCTTGCTCAAGTGCTGGACAAGATGATATTCCTTACCACCCTGCCGCTGTTTTGGATAATGATTTCAGGTAATTGCTGGGGAGATATGTCCCACCCCACACATTCCAGCCCAGTGTCCCATGGTGGGAACTGTTGGAGATAAGGGGGTGGGCTCTGTCCCTCAGCTTCTGTGTTCCCACCCATCTACAGCTTCTCGAGGGGGCCACTGGGGTGCCTGGATGCCTTCGTCCATCTCAGCCTTCGAGGGCACATGCGTCTCCATCCCCTGCCGTTTTGACTTCCCTGATGAGCTCAGACCGGCTGTGGTACATGGTGTCTGGTATTTCAATAGTCCCTACCCCAAGAACTACCCACCGGTGGTCTTCAAGTCCCGCACACAAGTGGTCCATGAGAGCTTCCAGGGCCGCAGTCGTCTGTTGGGAGACCTGGGCCTACGAAACTGTACCCTGCTTCTCAGCACACTGAGCCCCGAGCTGGGAGGCAAATACTATTTCCGAGGTGACCTGGGCGGCTACAACCAGTACACCTTCTCAGAACACAGCGTCCTGGACATCATCAGTGAGTTGGGTCCCCCAGGGTTGGGTGGGCTCCAAGGAGCTGCAGCAATTCTGAGATGAGAGGGAGGGGCAGGTGGGTGTCCTCTGCACCTGGGCCACCAGCTCTGGATGACAGACCCAGAAAAGGCCAATTTAGCTGGGTGTAAACCCCAGTGCCTACCTGAGGTACATGGATGACAGACATAAACAAAGAGGGCCCTACGGGGTCTGCCTGCCCTCTGAGATAGCCCTTACTAGTCTAGAGACATCTGGAGCTAAAGACAGAGAGCTGGGGTCAGGGATGATGCTTCTAGTTGCCTGCTTTAGTTGGGTAGCTTTGGGCAACTTGATTAAGTTCTCTGGCCCTTAGTTTCCAACACACAGGCAGCAAGCAGGTGAATGGTTTTAAGGCTGGAAGCTGTTTGCAGCACCAGATCTAAGCTCTGGCAGAGGTAGAGGCTTGACTTGCTTAACTTCCCCGGGTGACTGGTTTCAAGCCTGGGGGCTGTGCCTGGCTTGCAGCAACCAGCTCTGACTGATGGAATGGGGTGGGGTGGGGGGGAGTCATTGCAGAATAAGGCACTGAAGCAGGAGGACCCCTACTATGCAGGCACACTAGAAACCAACACTGGAAGTTTTTGGCTAACAGCTGAATTTTTGCACTTGTCTTGCATGGTTGCATTCCGAATAAGACAAAAAGGGGTGGGGTGGGGTGGGGTAGGGGGACCACAAAATGGCTCAGTGGGTAATGGAACTTGCCCCTAAGTCTGACACCCCAGATCTGATAACTGGAACTCATATGAGTAGAAATGGTGGAAGAAGAGAAGCAACTCCTGTAGGTTGTCCTCTGATCTCCACAGGACATACACATACCCACATGTATCCATACACACAGGCATGTGCGCATGCACACACACACACACACACACACACACACACACAAATAGATGTAAAAAGCAAAATAAAGCCAGGCAGTGGAGTTCCAGGACAGCCAGGGCTACACAGAGAAACCCTGTCTCGAAAAACCAAAAAAAAAAAAAAAAGGAAGAAAGAAACAAAGACAGACAGAGAAAGAAAGAAAGAAAGAAAGAAAGAAAGAAAGAAAGAAAGAAAGAGAGAAAGAGAGAAAGAGAGAAAGAGAGGAAGAGAGGAAGAGAGGAAGAGAGAGAGAAAAAGGAGAAATATAAGACAGGACCTGATAGCATAGACCTTATTTCCAGCTACTTGAAAGGCTGAAGCAGGAAGACTACACGCCCATCTGGGATACTGAGTTAGCTGAGGTCAGCTTTAAGAACTTAGTAAGATCCTCAAAATAAAGAGTAACCAGATCGATGAGGATGTATCAGGTCCAAAGGTAGATAAATGGGGGATGGGGGTGGAATCGGGGAAAATGCAGGTAGCTGTGGCCAGGTTTGGCGATTAAAATAGAAGTCCCTGCCTGATTTCTGAGAGGCATCCCTAACTAGAGACCTTACGTTAAGTTTCCCAGTTGCGTTTGGCCTCTGTGAGTACACACACTACAGCCTCGCTGTGGAGAGAGACAACATCACACACCACACACTCAGCACACCAGAACCACACACAGGCACCCACAAAACACGCAGCTCCCCACCCCTGTGCCATACCGGTCACAGCTTGGTTTCTATTGCTGTGGTAAACACAGTAACCAAACGCAACACTGCAGGACAGGGGATATGTCAGTTAAGGCTCAAGTCGGAGTCTATCCCTGAGGGCCAGGGCAGAGACTCCAGACATGACCCTGGAGGCAGGGACTGAAGTAGATACCACAGAGGGATGCTTCCTGGCTTACTCCTCTCATTCACCAACTTTTCTTTTCTTTTTTTTTTTCGAGACAGGGTTTCTCTGTGTAGCCCTGGCTGTCCTGGAACTCACTCTGTAGACCAGGCTGGCCTCGAACTCTCGAACTCAGAGATCCACCTGCCTCTGCCTCCCAAGTGCTGGGATTAAAGGCGTGCGCCACCACTGCCCGGCTCACCAACTTTTCTTATACCTCCCAGGACCACATGCCCCACAGTGGTGCTGCCCCACAGTGGCTAAATCCCCCTACACCAGTCAGTCAAGAAGATGCTCTGCTGGCTTACCGCAGGCCAATCAGATAGAGCCATTTTCCCAGTTGAAGTTCAGTCTTCCCACATGACTCACGTTCACACAAAAATCAAACAGGACAATATCACATACCGACACGCAACTGTCCCTCCTCCCCAACCCAGCGGCTCACCCAGGTAGGGGATATATACAGGGACCACAGAGGAACTTAGTAAGATAGAATTTCCAGCCGGGCGGTGGTGGCACATGCCTTTAATCCCAGCACTTGGGAGGCAGAGGCAGGCGGATTTCTGAGTTCGAGGCCAGCCTGGTCTATAGAGTGAGTTCCAGGACAGCCCGGGCTATAAGAGAAACCCTGTCTCGAAAAAACCACAAAAAAAAAAAAAATAGAATTTCCATATGCCACAGAAGCATCCTGATAGGCTGTGTGAACTGCTCTGTGTGTGTGTGTGTGTGTGTGTGTGTGTGTGTGTGTGTGTGTTGGAGGGGTGACCAACACTTGGAAAGGGTATAGCTGAGGCAGTGCCCTGGGCATTCAGAGGGATAAGGTCCCAGGAGTGGAGCCAGACAGGTGGGCATGCCCACAGCCTGAGACTGCTTCCAGGACCCTCCTTTTTCTCCTTCTCGTACACAGACACCCCCAACATCGTGGTGCCCCCGGAAGTGGTGGCAGGAACGGAAGTGGAGGTCAGTTGCATGGTGCCAGACAACTGCCCAGAGCTGCGTCCAGAGCTGAGCTGGCTGGGCCACGAGGGGCTGGGGGAGCCCACTGTGCTGGGTCGGCTGCGTGAGGATGAAGGCACCTGGGTGCAGGTGTCGCTGCTACACTTCGTGCCTACTAGAGAGGCCAATGGCCACCGTCTGGGCTGTCAGGCTGCCTTCCCCAACACCACCTTGCAGTTCGAGGGTTACGCCAGTCTGGACGTCAAGTGTGAGCCTGGGTGCGGGTTGGGGCAGGAGTGGGGACTGGGCAGGGTGTGGCAGGATAGGGAGACTGTGGGCGGGGCTTGGATGGGTATGAATTGGGGGCGGGACTTTGTTGGTGGGCGGTGTACTGGGGCAGGACCAATCTGGAGGGTGGCATCTGGAGGACGGGACCTAGGATGGTTAAGTCAGGTCTGCTGGGTAGGTGGGTCCAGGAGGGGTAGGACCCAGAAAAGGGGCATGGAAGCTGGGGATTGGGGGCGGGGCCTGGGCTTGCGGAGCATTCCTGGATCTGATACACCCATCAATCAGCCCGCTGACCCTTCGCCTTATTCCGGGCCTCAGACCCCCCAGTGATTGTGGAGATGAATTCCTCTGTGGAGGCCATTGAGGGCTCCCACGTCAGCCTGCTCTGTGGGGCTGACAGCAACCCGCCACCGCTGCTGACTTGGATGCGGGACGGGATGGTGTTGAGGGAGGCAGTTGCTGAGAGCCTATACCTGGATCTGGAGGAGGTGACCCCAGGAGAGGACGGCGTCTATGCCTGCCTGGCAGAGAATGCCTACGGCCAGGACAACCGCACAGTGGAGCTGAGCGTCATGTGTGAGTCCCCACCCAGGGCATCCATATACCCCTGCAGGGAACAGACATTGGGAACGGCTTCTCCCAGAGGAACTACTAGCCTTAAACAACAGGAACTTACCTGCATTTTGCAGCGGTAGTTTAATGGGAGGGCTGAGGATACCCAGGGTATCAATTAGCCTCATTGCGTGAACCTGGTTGTAATAGGAGACGGATGCTGTTGGAGCAGGACCCTTAACTGAGAATCAAGCACAGGCCATTCATGCATGTATTCATTCATTCATTCATTCATTCATTCACAAATATGTATTGAGGCACAGTGCCCGGGGCTGGGGATAATAAAGACAGTCACAGGCAGTGTTCACTCAGCTCTCTCTGACTGGCATCCTCTACGCCTCCTGTTCAGCTCTCAGAAGCCTTCCCTCACCATCCTACTTAGAAACATGACCACCCGATTCCTCCTCCCTAAGCTTTTGGTTTTTTTCCATAGCACAAATCTCTGGCTGAAAATGTATTTTATTTCCTTACACTGCATCTTTCCCTAAGGGCCTTCCTTGCTCAGCTGAGAATAGCTCTTGTCACTCGGCAGGGTCTTGTCCCATGTTGGATGTTCAGCCCTATTCTTTGAGGCTGGAATTACTAAGCCTGTTTTCAAGATGGGAAAAATGAGTCCCAACATGAAGACAAAAGGTCTGCATAGCTAGGATGGGGTAGTGCCAGCATCCCAGACTACACACATAATTCCAACATGCAGGAGGTTAAGGCAGGAGGATTGATTGCCATGAGTTCAAGGCCAGGCTGGACTATATAGTGAACTAAAAGGCCAGCTGGGGCCACACGGCAAGAGCCGTCCCAAAAGTAAATGAACAAGTAAACAAACAGCATTAAAAAGGAAAAAAAGACAGGATGACAGTTCGTTTAAATGAGACAGCCAGGACTGGGTGGGACTGTCGGGGTCACTTTTGGGGATGGGGCTTGGCCTGTAGATGAGCAGTTCCTATGGGTTCCAATTGTTTTTTAAGGCTGGTGAGTTCCTCTTTTTCTTTTAAATAATTTATTTTTTATTATATGTGCATTGGTGTTTTGCCTGCGTGTATATCTGTATGAGGGTGTCAGATCTTGGATTTACAGCCATGAGCTGTCATGTGGGTGCTAAGAATTGAACCCCAGTCTTCTGGGAGAGCATAACTACTTAGCCATCTCTCCAGCCACAGGTTCTGATATTTCGTCTTCCCGCAGATGCACCTTGGAAGCCCACAGTGAATGGGACCGTGGTGGCCGTAGAGGGAGAGACGGTCTCCATTCTGTGTTCCACACAGAGCAACCCGGATCCCATTCTCACCATCTTCAAGGAGAAGCAGATCCTGGCCACGGTCATCTATGAGAGTCAGCTGCAGCTGGAACTCCCTGCAGTGACACCCGAGGACGATGGGGAATACTGGTGTGTGGCTGAGAACCAGTATGGCCAGAGAGCCACCGCCTTCAACCTGTCTGTGGAATGTGAGTGTCCCTCCCCCCTCGCTTCCACCAGTAGCTCCATGGGGACACCTGAGTGACTGGGAGTTGCCCATGCATCCCTGCCAGGCTTAGCTTTGTCTGTCCCTGATAAGGACGGGGAAGAAGAGAGGAGCTGAATCCAGGTTAAGAGTGTGACTCTCCCATTGAGGACATCATGTTCCCGTGTCCTGGGAGTGGGAGGAGCTTTTAGCCAAAGGGGTTCAGGAACATGTGGTTACTGCTTGGCTACAGATTTAAGATGGTAACTCTGGTATTTGTCCCTTGGAGAGCATTGCTAGGTACCAGATGTTGTTGGATGTGCTATGCTCAGGGACCCATCTCATCTTTGTTCTATCAGTATCCTCTTTACAGAGAAGGAAACTGAGGGCCAGAGAAATTAGGACACTTGCCTGAGGTCACACGGCTAAAAAGTAGCAGGTTTTGAGAGTCGAACCCAGGCAATCTGGCTCTGCTCTGCACAACCTAGAGTCCACCACCCTGGACTCATACACTGAGCTGTTGTGGTGTGCTCCTGGGAGGTGGGAGACGAGATCAAGGAGATACTAAGTTTCTTGGCAGACATAGCACAGTCAGAGGAATGCTAAGGACGCACTTATAAGCTAACGTCCTAGAAGTAAAAGCAATTACACATTGCCAACTAGTGCCTGGCCTGAGCTCTCTATGGATAACTCCCTCTACTTCACCCAAACCTACTCCCAAGTTCACTACAGGTGGTAGCAGCCAAGTTCCAGTTTTTACTTCTTTGTGCTTTCTAAGAGTTTCCAAATAGAGAATGCTATCTCCTCTTCCCCGGGCTTCCTCCTCAGCTTTGCCTGTCTTAAAGCACTCACCTCGAAACTGTACCTCTTTCAGTGCTGCCAATGGAACCCAAGGCTTTATGTGTGTCAGGGAGGGGCTCTACCACTGAGCCACGCCCCCAGCCCCTCACTGGGGGATTCTAGGCAGGGGCTCTACCACTGAGCCACACCCCAGCTCCTCACTGGTGGGATTCTAGGCAGGGGCTCTACCACTGAGCCACACGACCAGTTCCAGCTCCTTTCCTGCAAAAGGAGATGACAAAAACATCTCATGAGTAAGATGACTGTGAGGATGAGAGGAACGTGTCCTGTGCGTTCTTAGATATCTGCGTCTTGTCCCATTGGTCTTTCCTTGGGACTCAAGTGGGCGTTTGTCACTGAAGCCAAAGATTTATCTGCTTTCTCCTCTCTCCAGAGGTAAATACTTGTCTGGATGCTAAGCATCTCATGCTGTCTTTGGAGTCTCATGGTTATTTATTTTAGAGGCAGGTGGATTTCTGAGTTCAAGACCAACCTGGTCTACAGAGTGAGTTCCAGGACAGCCAGTGCTACACAGAGAAATCCTGTCTCAAAAAAAAAAACAAAAAACAAAAAAAGATGTATTTATTTTTATGTGTTAGTGTTCTATCTGCATATACACCTGCATGCCAGAAGAGGGCATTGGATCACACTGTAGCGGGTCATGAACCACCGTGTGGGTTGCTGGGAATTAAACTCAGAAGCTCTGGAAGAGCAGTCAGTGCCCTTAATCCATGATCTATCTCTCCAGCCCAGAACCCCATAGCCTCCTGTGAGCTAATGGCGCCTTCCCCTTCTCCAGGGACCAGGAAGGCAGCTCAACTGATAGAGTCCTTACCTAGCGTGTATGAAGCCCGGGTTCCAGACACAGGAGTATATAAGTTCCATATAGTGACGCATACCCCAAATCCATCAGTCAGGAGGTGGAGACAGACAAATCAGAAATTACCCTTGGTTACCAAGGGAGCCTGGGCCAGCCTAGGTATCTTAGGTTTTTTTATTTTTTATTTTTATTTTTTTGATGTTGATGATATATTGTTCATACTCTCGTGAAAACAACTAGGGGAGACATGTTTAATTCACTCATGCACCTTTCCAGGCTACAGCCCATCGTTTTAGGGATATCATGTTGACAGGAGCTTGAAGGAGCTGGCCACATCACATCCACAGTCAAGAGCGGAGAGCAATGAGTGAACCCAGCCAAGCTCAGCTTTCTCTCCTTTTCATTCAGTCGAGGTGGAGCGGGGTTTGAACTAGTGCTGTTCATATTCAGGATGGGTCTTCCCTCCTTGAGTCAATTAAGAAAAATCCCCCTCTGGCATGCCCACAGACCAGCCTAATCTATGCAGTCCCTCACTGAGACTTCCTTCCCACAGTGTTGAAAATTAACACCGTGACACCGGAGTACCCAGGACTCTGACTCCAAAAACCCAAAACCCCAAACCAAAAGTCCCCCCCTCTACCTTTACTTCTCCATCCTGAAGGCTCACTGGCCACAGTCAGCCAGTAGATGGCAGAGTTGGGATGCCAAAGCCAGGCACCCCCAAACTCGCCATCCTTTGAATCATGTCAAGGGGTTGTACGCTTCTTCTGAAACTTCTGGGAAGCCAGAAAGATACGAAATACGCACACAGGCAGGGCACCAGCACTCGAGCATCTGGAGTAGACACTTGTCACCAGTGTGTTGGTTGTGATGTCCTGAGTGGGTGTGACTCAGAAATGTTCTAGAATCTTCTTTTGAGTTCAGATTCAGTGTTACCCGTTGCCACTGGGCTGTTGCCACAGCAAGTGTGTATGCACAGCGCCTATTCACTTTAGCTTTGCACAGACATGCACAGAGGCTCCAGCACAGTTACCCAGCCCTGGTGCATACGTACCTGCTCCTGAGACTTGCTGCCCACCATTGTGACTGGCTCATTCTTCTGGGCTTAAAAATGGGAGTCAACACGCTGGTGGTCTTTTGCCTGCGTGAGCAGATTTGGGTCAGAATTCACTCAGTACCAGCACTTGGTATAGAACCAGCAGAGAGGTGTCGGGTAGCTGAAGACTGATAAAGAACATGGTTTTAAAAGCATAACTTAGGGGCCGGGGAGGTGGTTCTGTGGGTTATGTGCTTTTGCATAAGTGTGAGGACCTGAATTCAAATCCTATGCACCATGTTAAAAGAAACATTGTAAATGTAACCCTGGTCCTGGGAGCTGAGACAGGAGGATTCCAGGGACTTCTGGCTAGCCAGTTGGTGAGCTTCAGTATTAGTGAGAGACATTGTCTCAAAATGTAAGTGTAAAGTGATAGAGAAATGCATCCAGTGTCGCTCTCTGACACCCACGTGTGCGTTCAACCATACGTGTATAACTGCACATATGTCACAATTCTCTCACTTGCTCACTCGCTCTCTGTCTTACACATACACACACACACACACAGACACAGACACACACATGCACACACATACACACACATACACACACACACACAGACACACACATACACATACACACACATACACA